AAGGCAATTTAGAATAAGTCACCAATACTAGTATCTGTTGTTGCCCATCATTGGTGGGGAGAATACTTACAGAAGGTATGGGATAGCGGATTTGGTATTGAACTCTTTGATCTTGAGCTGCTTTTTGGGTTTCTGATGGATTTGGACCAAGTTCTTGACAATTTGGGCATGGTGCAGTTTTTTGATCATTGAACAAAGGCCTCACACAATCAGCATGAAAGGGATGTTTGCAGCCTTCCCAATGACAAGCCAGATCTTTTGACACAGGCTTAATGCAAACTGAACATATCATTGATGAACCTTCCCCCTAGATTTGATCAATCACACATGGATGTAGAAAATGTCAGGATTTCCACCTTCTCACATTCTCAAACCCCCAAGGAAAATTACTCACATCATTCAAGTTACGTTTTATGTGATGATTACTCAATTCTAGTAAAATGTTTGAACCTGCAGAAGCCAAAGAGTTTAAAGCAGACCACATTCATTTAGTTGATTCTCCAGACAAATCCAGTATTTATTAATTTACCAGTTTGATCAGGTGGGTGTATGATTGGTGTTGCAATTATTGCTTCAATAATCTAGAATGAGAAGTTAGTCCTTAGCAGGCCAAGATATTATTTCAAGAGTCATGGAAATATCTAACCATAGCAACCATCAAGATGCAAATTTGTAACATTTCTTCAACAAGAATGTGAAGATACCAAGTTTCTGAGCCTTCACAATCAATTGAAAACTTAAAGGATTAGTGGGATGTAAAATTGAGGTCACTCTTTTTCTAAAAAGCCATATTTATATTTAAAAATATATTGTTGACATATCCAAAATTCCAAAATCCAAAAGGTTTATGCTGGCCTGTGTTGCAGGAATCATCAGACAAACTTTTAAATAGATTTTCAAGGAGAAAGGGGGCACAGCTAGATTTACACATACTCCAAAATTTTGAAATGTTAATCTCTGCTTAAGTACATTAAACACAAAAGCAAGCAAACTACAGGAGATTGACTCTCAGTTTTATAAGGGTAATAATGTTTTTGATACAAGTCAGAAAAATGGTGTACTGCCCTGATGAAGGAATAAACAGGGAAGGTTGGGTGGTACCAAAGCTGAAACAGCAGCAAGACAAGACATTATCCGGCATTTATTTTTATTGTCTCAGAATTTGAATACCCAAAAATAACTACCAATCCTTGTTTGTCTCACTTTCCTGAGACAATACACACATCTTGTCTTTGAAAGTTAGACAAGTATTGTGTTTAGTTTCAGAGGGCTGATCCCACCAAAAATTTCTTCAATAGACACATATCAACAAAAAAAAAAAAAAGACAAATTGTTTTTGCATGGGTCAAGACCAATCTAAGATGGTGTATTTTCTCACCAACAAAGGAAATACTGATACCAGGTATGTGTCTCAGAAAAGAGACAATAAATACACACAAATACCAAATATGTGTCTTACTCTTGCCTCTGTTTCAGAGTTGGTGGGACAACCTTTTTGAAAGGTGTGGACTCCTCTATCCTCAAAAAGCAAATTGGTTTTTGGGCTGGGAAAGTCCATCCTGGGCCCGCAGTATACACAAGATTGATTTTTTGGGTTATGATTAAAATCACAGGTGTATACTATTACATTCCTGGACACAGAAAATCAGATGATCAAACCAGGCACTCACTGATAAAGATATGGTATATCTTAAACTTATATCTGTGAGAGGTTTGTGGCAACACTAATTATCTTCCAACCAGACATTCAAGACTCAAGGCAAAACAAATTTGCAATCTGGGTGGGGGAGGATATAAAGTGGACTTATTTTCTGCATTACACATTCAAAAAAAAAGTGCAAAGTTTTCAGTACTAAGTTATTTATACGCAAACAAAAAGAGACTTATAATGATGAATCAAGGTTTGGGTGTTTTGTTTCACCAAATTATATGGAGAGATTTTTTTTTTTATCTGAAACAACCTGTTGGAACAAACAAAAAAAATTGATTGATCTGACTTGCTTGTTTCTGAAAGCAAGAAAGGAAAAAAAAAATAAACATGGAATGTCAGGGCCCAGCCAATGTAAAATTGGTTGGGAAGACCAGCCTTATATTGGCCGCCTCTGGCCAGCATTATCATGGGGGGTTAACCAATACAGCTTCTTTGGCATTGACTATATTCTAGTTGATACAGGCTAGAGAGGTGGGTTCTTTTGCCCCATTTGGTGTAGGACTGTCAGATCAAGGAGCAGTGACCCAGATTGAGCTTTTTGCCTACATGGCTATGAGAATATATCATATACCAATGGATTTTTGGTCTTTTGCATGCCTGAATGTCAGCTTTAAGTCCAAATCTACATATTTCTGTAGATATTCATAGGCTGGGTCTGATGGGTCTGAAAACTGTTTGGTGGATGTGTCTTGACCAAGTCAATTCTTAACTCCCCTTAATAGTCTGAAAACACACAAACTTGTGGTCAGCTAGTGGGTTGATTCTATGTTTCCCCTACCTGGATACTATAAGGTATGGATATGAAACTAGAGGGAAAATCTAGTACAATTCCTGTCCTAATAATTTTGTTAGTTATTTTTGGAGTAAATTTTAAGTGTATTTAAACTTTAAAAAAAGGGGGGTTGTTGGTTAAAACAATCAAAGAAATTATAGCCTCACAATTTTACTTGTTAAGAGGCCTAGAGTTGAGTGTTAATCAATACTCTGAATTCCAAGGGAGGAATCAAGGAAGTTTGAATTGTTTATTCAACAATAGATTACAAGGAGTTCTTGCAAAAAGGTCTTTTTGAAGATTTAAGTCTTCCTGGGCAATTTCTAGAGCAATATTTCTGCAACAGAAAGTAAGAAAATGGCCAATTATAAAGGAATAAGGAGCTGGGATCTTTTAAGGGCATTGGCTACAGGTTAAGGCTGGAGGTAGCAGTAAAAGAGAATCTCTGTTCTGTGGTTAGAATGCTAAGGTTGATAAGAGAAATGGTTGGAAATGCTGGCTTCAATTATATAGGAGTATAGGTGAAAACCATCAATTGGACACTCTGAGAGGTGTCCAATTGATGGTTTTCTTGTTGTCCATCGGACACTCCCAATCAAGTGTCCGATGGACAGCGGGCTGTACACAATCCTCTGGATGGTTTTGCCTGCCAAGCATCCCTTGGATGCTTTCTGAAGCATCCAAATGATGTGAGGCGCGCCCGAGCGTCCGTTGGATGCTTCACAACCAATTTGCAGGAGCTCAGGACGGAATCCATCCAGCTGCTGGGGGGTTTTTCTAAAAACCCACCCCATGGTGTACTTGGGCCAATTCTCAGCCCTGTTGATTTCAAACTAGACCAGGCTTGTTTTGGTGGATGGCTGATGTAAAAGGATATTCTGAGCTTGCTCAGAATCATAACAAACTTATCGCAAGTCTCCGGCTGCGGGGGGCGCATCTGGCAGCGTAGCACTGGCCAGGCGGTTCCCAAAGGGAACTCCCCGCAGGGGAGACTTGGGCCAGAGGTCGACAAACTCAAGTGCTGAGTTTCTGGTGTTTTGGTGGGAGCGTCACAAGATTTGAAATCATGACGCTCCCTTGAAACCTTTTTGATGTTTGGTCTTGAATTTTTCAAGACCTGTCTGATCTTATTGATCAGGCCAAATTTCAAAATTTTGAAATCAAAAAAAGCAATTAATATTGATTTTCTAAAATCAATGTTTGAACTTTTTTAAGCTCACATAAGCAGCTTAATGAACTCGCGCACACCAAAAAAACTCAACTTTTGTGATCAAAAGTGTCATTTCAAAAATACTATATCAAAATGACAAAATACAAAATAATGTGAGCAGAGGGAAGCATTTACAAGAAGCAGACCCTCCTTGGTCCACAAGGAAATTAGATAATGGTGGAAGAGGAAGAGCATAGGCAGAAAAATGCACAAAAAACTGGCTTTTAAGCCCACATTTGAAAACTCAGCACGCAGGGATTGCTGCATCTGCCTTAGGCCTCCACTGCTTGCTCTCGCTCCCGCTGTGGAGGCCTAGTTAGGCTCGGAATCAGAAAGGTTCTTAAGGTTTGGGATAAACAAAACAGGTTACATGACCAAGTGGCTGATCAGGGTTTGCTAAACTACAAGGCTGTACATGTTGCACAAGCCTTGGAACCTTGTTTATATATCTTGAATTCACATCAAGTGAACTTTGTTTATGTCATCAGCTGAGTTGGTTCTGTAACTTTAAATGCCTGTAACTCTTTAGTTACTGATTACTTTACAGAATTGATTGTTTTTTGAGTATGTAGTTACATAATGGAATGTAATTAGTACATGAAGTTTGTTTTTATTTTCTAAGTAAAGTAAAGTAAAAAAAAAAAGTTAATTTTTTTTTTTTTTGAAGGCCTTTGTGGTGATTTGCAGGCTTTTGACCATGTATACTTTCATAAGTAGATTTTTATGCTTAATATTAATTTACTATAGTTTATAAGGCCCTGTTTGGCCGTCCATGATTTGTAATTTTGAGTTGAGGTTTGGCAGGAGTTTGTGCAAAAACCTTATATCGTTTCATATCCCATGGGCCAAATCCCAGCCAAACTTAGCCAAATCACAAATAATGATTTGCGGCCAAATGGGGCCTAATGTTTTACTTGGGGCTAGTCTTGAGACTTGATCATGAGTTGCAATTATTATTTTTATTATTGATATTTTGAGGCCTAATATGGGTATGTTTATACCTCAAGGCTGACAAAAAAACACTTCAAAAAAAAATGTGATTATTACAACTCAAAAGTGTGTGTTACTTTTGGACACCAGCCTCTCCTGCACTTCATCAAAGCTGAGCAATCCAAGATCCAACCCAGTATCCCCCCCCCAAGAAAAAAAAAGAAGAGGAAGAGAGAGAATGAAGACAATGACCAAGGATATATCTTTCCAACAAGAAGAACCAACATGATGAATGTAGTTTATATTTATATACCTCAAATCAATCTCCACAATTTACCTCCTCAAGAAAAAAAGAACAATGAAAAAAATGAATGTGATTTATTTGTTTTTGATTGAATCAAATCAAATCAAATCAACAAAAAAAATGATGAAGATGAAGATGAAGAAAGAGAGATCAGGGACTCGTAGAGTTCCATAACATGTCAATAAATAAACAATCAAAAGCAAAAAGAAAGAGAGAGAGAGAGAGAGAGATAGAAATAAGAAACCAGTAAATGGATAAATAAGTGAATCATGATCTAGAAAATAATGTGAAGGTCCACTACACCATTGTATTTTTCTTTTCCCCTACTTGAACTTCCTCCTTACACCATCTTTCCAAAAAAATGAAAAAAAATTGTTAAAAAAACAAATAAACCAAACCCCTAGGGGTGTTGAATTATTTTACTGTGATGGGGAAGGGGGGCAGGGGCAGGGCCGGTGGATTCAAGGAGAAAGTAAGAAACATAGAAAAAAGAGAAAGATTCTAAATCAAGCAAAAAAGAAAAAGGTATAAATATCAAGAAGAAAAAAAAAAGATCAACCAAATCTAGTTTGATAAAAAAAAAGAAGAAAAAGACAAGAAAAAGAGTTCCATTATTCCAAGGAAGAAGAAGAAAAAAAGCAAGGAGTTCAAAAAGAAGCAAAGCAGAGAGAGAAAGTCAAGATATATCTATCCAAGAAAATCCATTGATCCAAAATAACTAGAGAAAGGGAAAAGAAGCAGACAGAGGTTAAAACTTCCTAGGATTAGAGTGATGAAGATGATGGGAATGATTATGGTCCCAAAACTCATTAGGATTAGCAGTCATCTGTTGATGATGATGATGAGCATGTTGTTGCTGATGAACATGTTGTTGAGTGTGTTGATGATGTTGGAGTGGGTGATGAAGTTGTTGCTGAGGATGATGTTGGTGTTGATTAAGATGAGGAAGATGATTGTTAAAGGAAGAGAGTTGATGGACTCTGTTTCGAGGATCAATAGACCCAGCCCCAGTATCAACAGCAACTGAGGCAGAGGGAGCAGAAGGCGGCGCAGAAGGAACGGGAACGGGTGAGTCAGAAGAGGAAGTAGAAGGACTAGCGGTCCGTCTAACCGAGCCAGCAGTTGAAGAACACGAAGGACCGAAGTACGAAGACTCAGTAGTTGCTGCTGCTGCTGCTGCACCAGGCGAAGAGGCTTGGGAGCCAGGGGTAAACTCGCTAGTCGATGCTGGTGGTGAGAGTTGTTGAGCCAAAGTGTTCGCATAGACTTGGCTGATACCTAATGGACTGTTGGTATGCGGGGATTGGTTTCCAGTCACATGTTGTTGAAGTCGATTAATCTAAAAAACAAAAAGAAACAGCCAAACTGTTCAGAGCATAATTTTGCTTGGAGAGAAGAATGTTTATACTCACCTCTTCGCTGGCAGTCTTTAAGGAAGCCCTCAAGGCCTCATTCTCGGCCTGCAATCGTTCGATCATCTCCCGTTCCTCACTGCGTCCTTGATTGTTGTTCAGGGTTGTTGTCATGTTCGTTGTTGTTGGGGGCGGTGGTCCATCTTGTTGAGCACCATTACCAGACTCTTGAATCGAATCATTCCGGTTGAGACTCCTCAATTGGGCCTCTAATTGTTTAGTCCGTCTCTCTAAATACTCGAGTCTTTCCTGTTTCTCTCGTTGTCTTTCTCGAGTTCGATCTCTAAACCTTTGACTAGATTCCTTATTCTATTTACATCGAAGATTATAAGAGTCAATCTCCAGAAGAAGACAAGACAAAGAAAAAAAATAAAAAGAAGGGACTAACTCTGCGACGTTTTTCTTCCTTAATCAAAGTTTCATCGATTTCGGGATGTCCAACCAAATTAAGCTCGATGGGCATAGGAGAGGAAGCGTAAGCGGAGACGGTATGACGACGACCAGCGCCGACGACGGAGGAGGAGTCGAAATGGAAGTAAGCGGAGGAGGCAGAGGGGATCGGAGGGGAGCCTCCACTCGGGGTAAAAGCGGCAGCAGGATAGGCGAGACCGGCCAAGGAAGAGCGTTGTTGGTTTGGCCCAGTATAAGCGGGGTAGACGGCCGTCTGGGAGAATCCAGGACCAGCTAGAGGTGGATAGAGGTTCTCGTTTGGACAACCACCAGTCGTATTACTCGGGTCCTCAAACGGTAAATTCCCTCCTCCTGTTGTTGATGGGGGTGGGAAGTAGCCCGATGATTGACTACTAGCCGGAATCCAC